GCGATCGCGAGATTGTGGGATTGCACCAGCAGCTGGCTGCGTTGCTGATGCTGAAGGACTTATGAATCTGAGCAGTGTCTGGCCGCCGCCACCCCGGAAGTGTCAGACAGGATGCATTAAACTCGGAGAACTTGGAGCTCCAAGAGAGGATCCAGGCCCTGGGCTGTGCCAGCTTCAAGTTCGAAGCGACTGCATCCAGCTCATGTGGACCGTAGTGGAGCAAGTAAGTGTTGTTCTATACTGCGGCACGAAGTGCAGGGCCATCAATATGGCCACCTGGCAGGCCATGGAGCAGTTGCAGCGTCATAGCCAAGCCTCCTGCGCCACACGGCCGAAAGTGCAAGATGCCGCTCTTTTGGCAGAGTTTTCGTCCTGCTTGCCTTCGAGCCTCCGAGGTCATTTGCATGGAAAATTTGGCCAATGCCGCTTGGCCTTGCGATTCACGAGCGACCAGTGGTCATCTAGCAGGCAATGGAAGGCTGTGGCCCTCTGGCTTTACGAGCTATGCACACTGGTATGTGTTCGAGACACTCGAGACAAGGTCGTCTGCCTTCCATGCAAGCATCTCGCCCTGTGCTCGTTGATGCCTTGGTTTCGCCTCAACACTGCATGCTGCGAGGGCGCTCTGCTTGCCCAAAGACTGGAACTGCTCAGGTTTTGCAGCCAGCAGCTGGACTGCACTGAACTTTCTGTGCCGTGGAACTCTGTATCGTCTTGGGAAGACTGCATTGGGCACGTGACGCTGTTCGCAGGCAAAGTTACGCGGAGCGCAGCCAATGTCCCATCTGTCGGGGTAGTATCAGCGAGAGGATGCAAATCTTTATGCCTTGAACGTGGTTGCAACCAGCGGGACATCGCTGGCCAACTTCGGCTTACCGTGCCGTCAAGGTCACTATGAGAAGGACGTGTTGCTAGCTGCTAGCTGAAAACGCCAAGCATCCTACGTTGCTTAACCTGGAACACACCCAACCTTGATGGCCGTAGCGTCAATGTAAATTGAGAAGCCCACAGTGGCTAGCCTAGTCAATGCAGAAGCCGCCAGTTGGACTTATTTCAAGCCATGAAGTAAGTGTCGACTCATGCAAGTGCAGCTGGCATGGTGGAGCGCTTCCTAGCAGTCTTTCTGAATTCAACTTGCCCCTTCTGTGCCCAAGAAATACGGTGCTCACAAAGGAGCACAAGAAGTCAACATGTGCGTCAAATTGCGGGATGCAGCTGAAGGCACACCTTCGTTCAGAACTCGTCCTTCCGACAATAAGTCGTCTGGCATGCTCCAACTCAAAACCATATCGTCAGCCGACCTAGTCTTACTGAGTCTTACTGTGAATTTTAGGCATAATCTGCCTTTCCTTTTGGCTCATCACGACACGAGCTGCTTGCCGTTAACTTCTCGGCCCGAGTGGGCCCACTGTGCTATACGTTTGCTGCCGTCTGCATCAAGGACTTGGAGCTTTTGCCGGCGCCGGCTTTGCGCGGCGTCAACAGCATGACTTTGAGTAGGGGACGGTCTGCTTTTCAGGCCGTGGTTTGGCAAGGTGCCGCGACTTTCTAGCGGCCTCTTCACCGACCCTAACTCCCTGGCCATGACGCCCACCGACGACCCAGCAGCGACAACAGAGATCATCGAGTCAGAGACGATCAAGACACTGTGTGAGGCTCTGGTCCAGCGCGTCCATCTGTACTTGTAGGTTTGGTGATACCGAGGGCAACGTTGAGGCAACGGCGCGGAAGTCGGGGCCGAAGCGAGGGCGGCCGTGAGCTCGGTGCCGCCAACATCCTCCATTTTATCGATGGTGAAGGGGCCATCTTCATCTTGATGAGGCGGTGGTCCGGACTCATCTGACCATGCACAAGGCGTGGTCGAAAGCGCGGGAGGCATCTTTCAGTGCCGCCACGTCAGGCTCTGTTGCATAGCAGCCACGCTTCAAAGCCAGTTGCTGCTTTCAGCTGCTCCACCGCAACCAGTGCCGTCGTGGTCCCGGAGCGCATCCAAGCCATCTTGCCAGGAGAAGCCGAGTCCAACCCAGGAACCGTGCCGTGACCACGCTTCTTAAGGCCGCGCTTTTTTCATCTCCAGAAAGAGCACCCAGCAGAGCACCGTCGTCTACCAGCCCACGGTACAAACTACCTGCGTTAAGAACACAGCCCGTCTTGGAGACATTCCACAAGGCGCGGAGCTTCGATACCGCGAAGAACCCCTCGTGGAGACGCCGCACCACGAACACCGAGGACACCGAGAACAAACCGAAGCCGCTCTCCTTTTCCTTCGGCTCCGACTCAGGTCGCGGCTTCAGAACCACAAGAACCACGACAGTTACCACAAGGACTTCCAGAACCTCCTGTACTACCAGTTCGGCAACTCCTTTGCAAGAGCAACCGCAAGAACCACAGGTAACAGTCACCACTACCAGTTCCTCAGACACCGTTAGAGGTTGGCTGGGAATCGGTCCCCTACGACTCTGCGGCGTGCGACACAGAGGCTGAACCTGAGCCACTACAACAAGTCGAGCTGGGCCGTCTTCTACAACCTGTCGCTGGACCTACGCCTGGACCTCTTGAGCAAAGTGCTCCTTCCGAAGTGACCAAGGCTCAGGAGAAAGACCTCCTACGACTCCGGTGTCCAGCGCTCCTTCGAGTATGAAGACTGAGCCTCCACCGATTCTCCCACCAGCCAAGCGGCCCTGCGACAACCTGAGCACCCTCTACTTAAGTCGACGGCGACGACTTCTACCGCTGTGTTTCTCGGGCAGAGCCAGCTGCTGGGCTTGGACCTCGCCCGCAGAAGTGCTACGACGCCTACTTGAGTTCTAAGCACCAAGCGCAGCGACTCAAGGACAAGATCCTGGAGCTGGGCCAGCCCGGCATCAAGGCCTTTGTTGCCGCCGTCGAGAAGGAGGCCAAGAGCTGGGAGGAGTGGGTTTCAGTGAAGCCTCTCTCTCACAACCCGAACCAGTGATGGAGTGACAGCCTTGACTTCGTGTTGGAAGGCTCCTCTTGACTTGGTGTGCACCAACGTCTATGGCTTCAGCAATGAGCCGAGGCCGTGGGCCTTGACTGTCATCAAGAGGCTGTGTGACTTCGGGTACCGGCAGCACTCCTTCGACAAGATGGTCTTCATAAAGTACGACAAGGCAGGCCACCTCGTCTCCATCATCATTGTCTAGGACGACGAATTCCTCGGAGTGCACCGCTCGGACTAGCACTGGAAAGTTCACATGGCCTTCAAATGGGGAGCCCCCCACGTGTTCAAGCCCAACGAGCGGTCACCTTCAAAGGAAAGCAGCTGACCCTCAAGTTGCGGGCCAACGAGCGGCACTACCTGCCACGTCTGCCAGAAGGACTTCGTCGACGGGATGACGTCAGGAGCTTCACCTCGCAACGCCGGCCTCGCGGCCACCCTCACTCCGGAGCAGAAGACAGAGTTTCGCAGCGTCACAGGCTGCCTTCAGTGGCTTTTGGGCCAGTCTCGCCCGAGCTCGCGGCAGTCAACGAACAGCTTGTGCAACCACGGCGGCCCGACGACTCAGACTAACCTCAGCGCCCTCTACCAGGCCGTCGACTTTGCCGGGGAGAATGGCTTCGTGATCCTCGATGTGGCAGTGAACAAGGCCAGCGTCCTCCGGAGCTTCAGCGACGCCAGCTGGGCAAATGCCGAGCACTGCCGAATACTGCCGATCCCAGTGCAGGGTCTTGGTACTCTTGTGTGGGCCATCGATGCTACAGCGCGTCGCGTCGCATGAAGGATGTGGTCGGGCGGCTTGCGTGAACCTCTTCCTGAGTGAGCTGTTGCACAACGCACCGGCTCAGAACGCCCGGCTGCAGTTAGCGGCTACATGACGCTAAGTCTCTGTACGACTGTGTGATTTCGGACAGTCCGAATCTGAGCGACAAAAGGTACCTCGTGAACGTTCGCGCCATCCAACAGGTGGTTCCAGGGCATTGCTTTCATTGGGTGCCGACTCACTTGATGTGGGCAGATGGACTCACGAAGCGCAGCCGTGAGCTCCAGCAAACGTTGCACGAACGGTTGCAACAGCCATGAGTGATTTTGAAGCAGCTCTGATGAGCCAATAAAGAATGGTGTACCGGTGTGAGCTTTAGTCATCATCTGCCTGTCCTTTGGGCTCATCACGACACGTGCTGCTTGCGGTTAACTTTTCGGCCCGAGTGGGCCCACTGAGCCATTTGATCTTTTGCGATCTTTTGCGCGATGACAGTGAAAAACTTTGCTCCTTAGTGTTGAGTGATTGCCTTCCTAAGACGTGCATTTACACACTAAACTCTACATGCAGGCTGCTGCCGCAGGGAGGTCCGAAGATCCATGGGCCGTCGGTCAGGATCTCTCGGAGTGGCTAAGTAGCTCGGATCTCTGTTGGAAAGCAGTGTCAGCAGCTCTGTGTGCATTCTGCCAGCCGGAAAAGGTTGAAGTAGAAGCACTGCCCACTGCTCTCCAGAATTCGAGTTGGAGTTGCACGGACGGGGCGGGGAGGGCCAAGATAATGAAGGCCAGCAAAGCCTTGACTTCGTGCTTGACGGCCAGCTCCTTGTGCGCAAAAGGTTTCTGGCAGTGCGTCAGTCATCTCAACTGTTGCTATGTCGCGCTGTGATGAATTGCCACTGTATCGACTCGACGATGAATCCTGTCTGAGGCATTCTGAAAATCAGTAAACCGGCACGCTGAGAGCTGAGATTCAGACTTGTAGTTTGATCCTAGATGAAGCGAAGAGACAACATGTCTGTGTGAACAGGTCATGGCAGCTACAGCGGAAACGTGCTTCATTCAAGTAAATTGGCCACTGTACATAGCTCTTTAGTGGCATCTGCTCGTTCGTTTCCTACCTGGAGAAGGTGTGCAATTGACTGCCGTATGCATTTGTTCAGCGGAGTTTCCGACAGTCCAATGCAAAAATGAGTCCAGAGATGTCCAGAGCATTCAGATTGATGCTTGGCATGACAGAACTGATCTCTCCTCATGGGTTGATAACTCGCAGTCTGGCTAGGAGCGGAATGATGTTCCCGAGCCTGAAGAGTTTTACAAAGAGTGCCCTGATCAGCAGACAACAAACATGTTCTGTGCACAGTTGGATTCATGCGAAGGTACTGCACCTCTGACAAGGGCAGCGGCAGGCCGACCTGAGTCTTTGAGCGTTTAATGAGTCGAGTCTAATGCCTCTCAGCTGCTGAGGCCTGTGGTGTTTCGAGGTGCAGCAGCTTCTTGGAACTTTAGCAGCAAAGACGACCGGTGCGGTTTTCAATTTCAAAACCTCCGGCACATTGCAGTATCTGTGCAGGAAGGCCATGAAATGGAGCTCCGACGAGTACTTGTTGGAAAGGCCAGATGTCAGCGAGATTCAGGGAACCTTTCATGGGTGCAGATAGATGGACACCACTCGAATGGCCTTCAATTGGGGACATGCATTTGTTTTCAGTAGGGGTTGGTTTTACGGCAAACAGATTGCAGTTGGGGTGGTGCAGTTCTGTTGCGCTGTAGTTTGTACCCTTCCCCATTAACGCCCTTCCCAAGACAAGCACGGTCTTGCACCCTGCCCGCTGCCCGCCTGCTTTTCTCCGATGCAGGTTCGGATCTGAGCGGATATCTGGCGTTGAGCACAACCTGAAGGAGACAAGAACGGGCGGTCAGGCACGAGGCAATGAGGAAACTTGCCCCGGAGGGTGCTTGCGGCTGAGTGCTGAGTGCTGCTGATTTCAAAGGTAGATGGCATGGTGAAGCTCCGAGATTTCTTGGGTCAGTGACCTTTTGGGCAGCCTGTTGTTGCAGATGAAGCCGACAGATGTCGACAGCTTGATAGGTACAACACAACGGATATTTACATGGTTTCGGGAGATCAGCCCTTAACCATTTCTGCACCGCGCGTGAAGCATGAGAACAGTGCCTCACTTTGCGCACGCTTCAGCAGCCCACTGAGGTCCCGAAGAACATGATGAAGGAGGTTGAGTTTCTACCATGCCTCCAGTGCGGCGGGTGATCACGCCCAACTTTATGCTCTGGCTTTGTTGTCGGAATGAAGAAGCTACTGATGAACGGTGCTGGCCAGGTACCTCAGTTTCTTGGACACAAACAACTTCTGGATGGGTCGCGGGGGCAGCAAATCCGTGGCCTTTGCCTCGAACACTGCGAGTAGAGAATGTGGTCAGCCGCAGGCTGAAAGTCCTCTGAAAGTCTTTGTCCAGCGTGCTGTTTGGTTTGTGAGCATTTCTCTGCTCAGGTCCACTACGATGACCAGGACTCAACCCTGCACTGAATAGGCCGAACGCACAATAGATTTGGGTTCTAAATGCTTAGCCGGGCCCCAACACTGAAAGCGCATGTGACAGGACAACATCAACTGCATGATCGCGGGGGAAAAGCGCTTTGTGTTCATGCACCCGTCATACAAAGAAGCCTTTGAGGCAGGGATCCTGAGGCATCGTTTTGTCGGTCTTTGTGCGTGTGCGTGTGCGTGTGCGTGTGCGTGTGCGTGTGTGTGTGCGTGTGCGTGTGTGTGTGTGTGTGTGTGTGTGTGTGTGTGTGTGTGTGTGTGTGTGTGTG